TATTATTAATATTAACGACACTACAAATAAATACACACGTCGTAGTAACGCACAAACACGCGTTATGACAATATTATTGTACATGATTAATGATTATTGTTATTTTTATTATAGGTACATCAAACATGCAACTTATATAGTAAATTTCCCTTTTTATCGTAAAATCGTAGGCGACGACCCAGCATTGTTTACGTGCGTCCTTGTATTATTAACTCGAATAAAATAATAATTTTATTATTATTATGATTATCACACGTCCGCACGGCCTAATGCAGATACACCGGTCATAATAATAGCTCGGACGAACTTTGATTCGTGCGCGCGCGCTGTTTAAAAATAAAAAAATCAATCCACTAATAACTTGTTAATTTTATTTCTATTTTTGTATAATGTTTACGTGTTTACCTACATGCAGCTACATCGTCCGCGATAATTTTTTTTTTTTAAATCGTTATCAATCGACATCTCGATAAATGTTATTGCATAATGAATGTCAATATTGTATTGTTTTCGGCCTAAAGTCCACCGCCTGTCAACTATCGAGTGACAACCGATTAGGATTAGGAACGCAATCAATTACCTATACTTCTAAAACAAATAATAACAATAATATTATAATAGAAAAATGATGACAATAATAATTTTTTTTTTTTTTTTACCATTGTTATCGATGATTTCGTTTCAACATCAAAGGTTACCTATTATTAGCGTTATATTAATATTACGTTGTGCCGAGTTTACATTTTATTATTATTATTTTTTTTTAATTTATCGTAAATATTTACAATTAAACGAGATTACTATAAACAATCGATTTGGTTGCATATAGCTTGACGTTTACGATCATTTGAAGAACGGACGTGTCGCAGGACACGTCGAAAGCGAGTACTCGACTCGACCATAGGGAGTGGTACCCATATTACCTACACGACGGAGTGAGAATGCGTCACCGTCGGGGACCGCACGAATAGGGGTAGCTTCCCCCTCTTCCGGTGGGGCATGGGTACATTGCTGACGTCATGCGCCAGGGTCTACCGCACAGTCGCAACTATAACTATATATACCAACAATATACTCTAGATCGCGTGTGGGACGACGGTGGCGGCGGCGTTAGAGGGATGACGGCCCCATTGAGGCTTTTCACCGATCCGTCAGTCGCGATGACGACCTAGACATTGACATTTCCGTGAAGCTTTCCCCCCTCACTCGGCGCCAACTAATAATAATATACTTATGCGCTGAAGCCAGAAATCACGTCACTTTCTAGCCGAGCATACTTAAAATTAAAATTTCTAACAAAACGTGGCGATCCGGCCGGACACGTGCATATAATACGACTTAGACAGCTGCTACCGTATACACGCTCAGGTTTAATTAAAATTTGAATTTCCAAATTTTTGTTAACTATTACATTACTTTTAGTTTAATTCTGCCGACTGAAAATCAAATATTGCCGTGTGGGGGGGGATGAACACCCCCCACCATAAACCCCCTTCGGTTCGTCCCTGTGGACATGTAGCTAATATTGACTAGGCCGAAATGGCGCCCGGGGGGGAATCCATGTGTTCGAGGGTTTCTGTAGACTCCAACGCGTATACTTAAATATTATAATTTAAATTTTAAAGTAACTAATTTACCTTATGTTTCATCGATCTTGAGCCGTGAGCGCGTGTTAATAAAATGATAGTTTTTTTTCTATAATAAAAAAATAGCATTATCTACATAGATTGTGGGCGTCGTATTATTATACAATATACCTATAACTACATAAGTATTAGATTTAGTTTAAAAGTATGCATTTGTCTATAATCAATTGAGTTAATGATAAACAAATTCAAACTAAATTAAATAAAAATGACTTCCAATGAAGCAATACTTACCTTATGCTTACTGTCTATAAGCGTTTAAAATGTACGGATTCAAGCTGTTCAAGGTTGGTGTATTATTTTATAGTTTTTGGTTTTCGTAGTAAAATTTTCTATACAGGTAATGTTAACAACTATCAGTTAGGTATTAGTAATAGCTGATTAATAAAATTAAATGCATTTGGATGTAGTTGGCGGGTATTATCCAATCGCAATCGTAAAGATAAAATGCAAGAACGTGCCATCACAAGTACTGTTGAAATTTTTAAACAAGTACCTACTTAAGTACTGGTGACTATTATTTATTATTGATGTCCTATATACATGAGTATGACGTCAATATTTGTATTAAGTTTTTTTAAATTGTTTATTAGTTATTTTAAAGTGTTTGAACGAATTATTACGAATTCACGATTTTAATATTATAATACATATAGAATACCATTTCCGATCAGATCGCTTTTATTTTCTGTTACAGTCATTCAGCCTGAAGTTATAGATTTCATATTATACGATAAGCGCATAACATAACGACAAATATTACTCAAAAGCTGTTTAAGAACTAGCTGACAAGGGGTGCTTCCCAAAAGACCTAGTGATCATATTACAATTTACAACACAATAAGTAATAACGATCATCATTTGTCTCTTTTTACTTTTACTTTACTGATTCATTAGTATAACTTACTATATGGAAAATTTATTAGTTAATATTTTTGAAATACATACGTCAAAAAATATCATTAGAATATTATGATACACACACGTATATAATGTAAAAACAACCATAGTCGCGTGTATTTTAACATCATTATGTATTCTCACCACAATTTTTCAGAAAACTAATTTAAACAAGACGTCAAAAGACCTAAGATATAATATATTTTAATCTTTTTTTGATTTTAAACCCATAAATAATAAAAATATCATTTGAAGTGCTAAACATCTATAGAATAAAAAATGTGTAGAAGTCAGAACGCACAGAAAATAGATCACTGTAAAACCAACCAATTCCTCGTTTGGCTTATAACGTATAGATGACCGTAGTCCATAGCTAATACTTCATCGATCATAAGAATTTTCACTACCACCCGAATACTTTTCCATAATATACGAGTATTATGTATAATGGAAAATGTCTAATATTTGTATTCGTTTATGATATTATAAGAGGATCAATATTCGTCGTTTATAAAAACCTTTTTTTTAAACATGGTGGTTGAACGGATTTTATACGATTTATTTTCTAACGTCATGGAATCGTCGTGAAATTACCATGCTAATACTTGAATGACTTGTAGTTTTATTTTTAAATCACGGATACACCATACACTAGAAGCGTAATTTATTTCCTGTTCCATTATAATATGGTACACGGTACACTGCTGGTTCTGTAATTCGCGTAGGAACTATAATAACGTCGCGTATCAAGGTCCAATTTACATGAAACTACCAAGTTAGCTTTATGCATTGTTCTGGTAATATTTCTAAATTCGAAAACCTACGTGGAAATTTTTATTTCTGGCATGTTGAACAGTTTTTCCCAGTTTCAATAATAGCACAAAACTATCATTGTAGATTAACGAAAATGTTTAATTTTCATACAATTTGTATTTTTAAATAAATACATAAGTTATATATTATAGATTACTATGTGGAATTCTTAAAGGAAAGAAAAAATTAAAACAACATATTGAACAATAAAAAATAATATTTTATTAAATAAGGATTTTATTACAATTGTATTACAAATCAAAATGTAAAAAACATTTTTCTCTTCCGGCACTTATACAATAAAATAGACATATATAGAATTAATTTTTTTTTTTGCGTACAGACAGATAAACATAAACAAATAAAATAAATAAAGATAATTTAATAATTTATATTGTGTAAGACAGCATAATTTTGTAAAACATTTTTAAGTACATTTTCTTTGAAGTTTCAAAACAATTATATTAATACTGTGTAAAATATTTAGTCTATCAATCAGTCTAATTCAATGATTTTGTTTTATTGGAAAAAAACCGGTGATAAAATTTATTTTGGTATGACAGGAAAATAACTTAATAAAATAAAAAATAAAAAGACTAGTTTCTTTTTTTCATCAAAATATATAATTAAACGTAACAAATATATCTGACTATTGTATTTCAAAGGACAAGTAATTATCACATTTAGTATTGTAACTTATTATGGTTTCTAGACAAGTATTATTTATGTTGAGGTTTGGGCGCCATCAAAAATAAATGAATATAATAATTTTCTGTTAAATTAATTAAGCTATGAGTTAATGATGAGGTTATACTATGAAAAATGTAAATCAAGAATTATGATATCTATATATTTTAAAATAAAAAATGAATAGTAATATAGTTTCTTATAGTTATTATTTTGTACTTCGATTTTAGAATTATCAAAAACAAATAACCATTACAAGAAAATGAATTAAAACTTAATTGAAAAACTAAGTATGAATGTTAAAATTAATATAACTGTGAAAACTATTTGATTTTAATGATTAATTGGATAAGAGAGTTAAATGTATATATGTTTATAAATTAAAAAGTATTATAACAGAAAAATGAGAATTGTTCATTGAAAGTGAATAATTGAGAATTAATGATTAGGCGCCCAATTTAATAATAATATATTTTTTTAAGCTAATTCCAAAACAATAACAGTTTTTATTTCCATGTTGTAGTAAACCCTATTTACCTAGATAAATAAAGATAAAAGCTGAATATCTTAAAAAAATAGTAACAAACGTATCACAGATTATATATGGTTGATTAATTTTTACCTATTATAAACAAAACAGAGCATCAGACTTAACTTACCAACCCATTAAAATAATTTTTCCTTTATGATACAACGTAACAGCCTAATGAACATCTAACAAATTTAAGTACAGTCTATTAATGAGTATCCAGGTAGGACATATGTTGCCCCTTATGAACGAAAACTACATTACAATTATTTGCAAAAGAATACATTTTGTGATATGGTATTTTTAATTTTATTTGGTCAATCAGACTTATGGAGTGCGAGTTATAAATTATTGCAGCCAAAATATTCTATATAAATACTTTTCAATATATCTTAAAAATATTTGATCTGTGATATTTTATAAACAAAAAAAAAAAGCTTTTGAATTAAATTTTACCCCCAAATTACATATTGATATAATATTATATACATTTATTTATACACTAAAGTAGGCGGGTTGGTAAGAAAGAACAATAAGAGCCTACCAAATAATTTATTTTAAATCTTGCCTAGAATCCTGTTGGATTTAAAATTTTATTTAAATTTCATTGATTTTATATTTGACACTATCAGAGTATCTTAATTTTAAATAACCCTCATTTTTTGATCACTGTTAATACATCAAGACATTTTCAACAATAATATAATACATTAAACATTTAGGTTGTAAGACCTTGTCCCCTATTGATTGATAGGCTTAAGTTATAATTAGTCAAGTACTTTATATAATTTTCATAGAGTAATATTCATAAAGTACTAAAAAATAATATTAAAAACAAACCATAATGCTGAGATAAGCCATAAGCTGTCAATATTAATATATACATATAAAATGTAACTAAAAACTTTTTTTTATATAACATAGGCTAAAGATCAACTTAAAATAGGCTATTATTATACATTTTTTAGAATACTCTCTATTATTAACCAAAACACACGACGCATCCATTTAAAAAAAACAAAGTTAGCATTTTAAAATAGATGCAACTCGTTTAATAAATAATTTATTATTCTAAACAAAGTGCCGGCACTTACCCTTGCACACAAGAGTACACTATGATTTTCTGTAGGTTTTCTGGATTTTTTATTGTTTGTATTGTCATAGCGCAATGTTGGTGCCCAACGGACAGGATGTGGCCATAGTGGACACTGGCCGGCTTTTTGCTGATTTAGTCAGGTTTGGTACTGACCGTTGATGGTTGTCATCTTTGGCCATATCTCAGGATCTTCTCCTCGCAATATCCTTGCTTGATGCTGTCGTTGTACTACCTGTATAACACACATAAATCTACTGTTAGAATACATATTTTTGTCTCTAGAGTTATTGAAATTACTTAAGTTTAAATTAGTTGTATATTATGTTGGAGGAATTGATCAATAATACCAATTTAAGTCTATATACTTTGTGGTAGGTAATGTAATAATAGAGTTGGATGTATTAATTTAGTGTTAATATTAAAATCAATAAGACTTAAAAATGGTAACAACAATATTAATGATTTTTTTTACTTTTAGAAGCTTTACAAGTACCTATAGTATTATACTAATGTATAATAACAACAACGTGTTTATATTCGTTTCACAAAGGAGAAGGTTAAATTGTCATCAGTAGAATAGCACGAGAATACAATGAAATTCGGGTCATACCAAATACAATGCACATTTGGCGAATAGTGATAGGGTTTATTGGGGACACAGCAAACAGACCGTAAAAAGTTTAGTCGTCACAAGCCAATTACCAATAATACACTAATCACATAGGTACCCTCAAATAGCAAATAAACAAACACCTAAATATCAACACTTGTCGGAATCAAACATGACATAATGTGTGAACGCACCAGAGTCAATATCGGGTTTATTTGAAACAAGACTTCAAAGTTTATTTCAAATCTTTACATCATGGGTCACACAAGGCGTGTAAAAATTGGGTTTGTTATTTTTTTATCTAGAGATAGACACTTACTGTCTTTGGACTTAGACGTCAGCGACCGTCTGAGCTTATCGACGAGCTTCGAGTGGAACATGTTCAGCGACGACGTGGATGAAATCTTTGGAGGCGACGAGGACGATGACGAAGACTTGGCGGGGCTCTGCAGGCTGGACTGAGAGTTCCGCGACGAGTTTCTGGACGCTACTCCGTGGTGGTGTTGCAGGCTGCCGTGGTGGAAAGCTGTTTGCTTGGACACTCCACCAAGCGACCGATGGGCCGGCGAGCCTACCATAAAATCGCTACCAGGCGACGTAGATAGCGACGGACCATCCGCCGACCGGGAACCGCTGTGCAGCCGTCTAGTGCCGCCGCACGACGAAGCCGAAGAGGCGGATGTCTTGTCGTTGGAACATTCGGAAACGCGTCTGTTCCGGTTCGATTTATAAATATTGTAATCGTTTTTTACAACAGGCATCATGAAAGCCATGGCTTTTTCTTATTAAATGTGCAAGTGTGACGAAAAAAATAAAATAAAAATTAATTATGAATCTACGACGAGATTCACTCTTCGGAGTTAACGATTTTCTAAGAAATTCGACCGATTCCGTCTGAAACGATTTTTCTTATGTTCCGTATATCGTTACTTTATTTATTTTTTTCACCGTCCGTACACGTATTGTTATTTCAATACGATTCAAATGTTTAATAATATTATTTAATATTTATTACAAACTGTTTTACATGTGTACCGATATGACGATATATTATAAATAGTTTAAAAATTATTATCAACAATTCGCACTGAAGATTGTTACCGGTATGCACGTCAGTCGGCAACTGGCGGGAATTTATAAATTCGATTTCGGATAAGGACGTATAAATAATATACGTTTATATATATATGTATGTATAGATATATACGCGCGCGATTATATCTAGAGGAAAAAAAAAAAAAAAACAAAACGTTTCTGTAACGATACCGATTTCGTTTCTCTATTTTACTCCACTGGACGAGTCGAACGTTAAGAACGGTGCGCGAGTCGTGACTATGTGCAACGCAATGCAACGGAATGAGAATCACTTTGGCCGTGTGACCTTTCCGCCTCGCGAGCGCCGCGTTTCCACCACTACAGCCGCCGTTGCCGCCGCCGCCGCCGCC